ATTTAAATATAAAACCCCAAGTTGATGACCAATTGTGTCAAAAACATTACAATGAATTAATTCTATATGAACATGGTAAGCCTAAAATAGATCAAAAACAAAAGAATAAAAGTTATCATCAAGGTGGAAAGCATCCAAAACATATTTGTATGGAAAAATATGAAACTTTAAACAAGACCTTAATTGAAACATCAAAAAATTTAGATGAGTTACAAGAGTATACAAATAAATTAGAAGCTAAATTAGAACAAGCATTAAGTTATATAATAATAAATTATTGTCAAATTATTTATATTTATTTATAACTTTTTCTAATTTTTTTTTTTTCCATTTAGAAATGAAAACTTTGCTAATTTTTTTAATGATAAAATTAAAAGTCTTACATCTATATTATATACATTACAACATAGAAAACATCAAAAGCCTATAACTGACCCTGAAGAATTTGTCAATTATATTGAATCAGAAGATGTAAAATTGAAAGGATTTTTTGATGTTTTATATCAATCAATTAATCCTGCTTCAAAAAATGAAGCCACAAAAAAGAAAATAAAAACCAAGGTTATGTTCATATGCTACCAGCTAGCTGCAATTCATAATAAACAAGTCAGTAGTATTAAATCATCTATAGGACTCTTTATGTCAGGATGTGGTACATCAGAAATTGGAATTGATTCACTTGCTGGGATGGGGTTAAGTTCCACCTACCAAACAGTGTTTAATAGAATGAACAATATAATAAAAAATCATAATTCATCAGTGGAAACTATATTAAACAAAATGTACACAGTGAAATTCGATTTAGCGGATTTCGATTTAGCAGATTTAGGGGTTTAACGGATAAAATTTCGGAACAGAATTTTTTTATAGTTATTTTATCTTGATTTAACGGATTTAGCGGATTTTTATATATATTCGGTATACCGGATATTTTTTTAAACCTTTTAATGTCGTACATTAACAAATTTATTTCGATATAACGGATAATGATGATCATTACCGTTTAGAAAATTTAAAAAAATAACGTATGATAAAATAAACGTAACGTACACAGTGAAACTCGATTCAGCGGATTTTGATTTAGCGGATTTAAGGGTTTAACGGATAAAATTTCGGAACAAAATTTTTTTATAGTTATTTTATCTTGATTTAATGGATTTAGCGGATTTTTATATATATTCGGTATACTGGATATTTTTTTAAACCTTCTCATGTCGTACATTAACAAATTTATTTCAATATAACGGATAATGATGATCATTACTTTTGAAAATTTAAAAAAAATAACGTATGATAATAAAATAAATAAAAAAAAAATTATGATTTTAAAGTGTTAATATTTTTGAAAAAACAGAAACAATAGCTTATTATTATAATTAAAAATAATTAAATGTAAAATAAACTTATTATTTGTAAAATTAAAATTTATGGCTTGTATAATGATTCGTAAAAATAAAAAATATCCACCTTTGTCTATAATCAAAAAAAAAAAATTTATCAATTTTTTTTTAAAAAAAACAAGCACAGAAGCTATAAAAGATTTGGAAACTGCACTCAAATATGTACAACAAAAAAATTGGAAATTGATTCCAAGTAATTAGAAATGTCAATAAATTAAAGGAAACTTCTTACAAAAATTCTCAAGAGTACAAACAAGAATTGAAGAATACTATATGCTAGAATAAAATATATTTAATTTTTTTTTTGTTGTTTATATATATTATTATTTTATTATTTACATATTTTATATACTGTAAAATTTGTTAATTTTTTTTAAATTTAACTGATGTCACATGATTTTTATTATAGTCTGCTAATTCCAAATTTCTCATTTTTATGGATATTTTGATTTAGCAGATAAATTTCTTGGGCCAAACTTATTATCCGTTAAATTGAGTTTCACTGTGTACTGTCTTTTGATTAGCTCCTATTTTTTAACAATACTACTATTACTAGAATCTGTCTCCAGTATATCTTGTCAAAACCTTTTGTTTTTTTGAATTAAACATATGTCTGAACTTAGATCTGAATTTAAAAGATTCTGATAAAAATTGTCAGTAGCAACAACTTGATTATAATGATTTATACATAATGAACAATTTCCTAAACAATTATTTAATAAAGATAATTCAGGGAAATACTTAGCTAATTTATTTACTCTTTCAACTGCAGCAGGTGCTGATGCATGCTTCCATGTTTGTGAGTCAGTTTTACATGGTCGTAATTGACTCTTTGGATATTTATCAACTATGTCTTTAAACAAGCATGGTAAATTTTTGGCTAGTTGTCTTGTATTTGACATCATAGTCATAGGAATTTGATAGTTACACACGAAAAAAATATAAAAAAATAATAAATAACTGAAAATTCAAGCCAAAACATGTCTCTTATTAAAAAAAAAACTAATATGTAAACCTTTGTGGATTAAAGTGGATTATTAAACTGTGTATTTAGACAAGCTTGTTGATATTATAAAAATATGGTACTACTATATGATGTGTACCTTTTTTTGGGCTTACAAAAATGTCATGATTTTTTTGATTTTTTTTGTAGAAAAGATCATCAAAGGCCAATTAAATTTCGAGGTGTGACTGTAAATTATTCTAGAATTAATTTCCATTTATGGTATAATCCCAGACTGTAATAATCTTTTATACTTTCTCTATCAGAATTAACCGCTGCATTATTAAACATTTCATTATGAATTTTATATATAAAGTCATGTCTTCTGATGATAATGAATATAATAGTTTAATATGTGACATTATATAAAAATATAAACAATAAATATAAATTTGACTTGATGTTTTAATGAATAGAGTAGAGATTTTTTTTGAGAATAACAAAAAGAAAGAAAGGTTGCCATGTTATGGTTCCTTTCTAAATGTAGTAGATTTTTATATTTGTGTAATTTTTTTACCAAATTTGAATTGAAATGGTAAATTCAGCACAATTATGGTAAAAATATTTTGTTGCTCAACTTTAGTAAACTGAATTGTTGGGAATGTGTTGCTTTTTCCTTTTTTCACTACAAAATATTTCATTTCCAAAAATGACAAATGTTTGTGGTTGTATTAACATCACCATATCATACAAATTCCAATTGCTATCTATTTGGCAAGTGAAAAATTATCTATTTTTGTTCAAAATGTCAGGTTGAAAGGAAATTGTGTTTCGCTTTAGATTTTTTTTTTCAGTGTCTTGTTGACTACTGGTATTTTTCGTCTTGCCCTGATGTTTCGGACCATTCCAAAAACTTATGGCCTTGCCTTAGAGCCTTTACATCAATTAAGGTCTTGTCACATAATGTATTAGTGCTATTATTAGTATATTTTTGAGCTGGGATTCAAAAACACTTTTATATTTTATTTTATTGTTATCAGTCAATCGAATTATTGATAAACAACAATATGCATGAATATTATTTTTAATTAGAAAAAAAAAGCATAGTTGATTTTTTTAACAATCAAAATTTGTAAATAACTTTTGATGTTTCCATGAAGTGTATTCTTCCATAGCTATTGGAAAAAAAAAAATCCAATTGATCCAATTGACCTTTAATTTGGGATAAATAAATAAACACAAAGAAAAGATCAGGACAAAGGATTTAATTAGGAAAAAAAAAGCTTAGTTAATTTTTTTCACAATTGAAATTCATAAATAACTTTTGATTCGCACAAGGGTTCTTCTTTGCAAGGATCTTTTATTAATTTTATTGGATTTGTGAACAATTTTCCTTTGTATAAATAAATTTTTTACTCAATGCAACAAATAAAATAAAAAATTGATATAATGATAATATGACTGGATAATGTTGATGCTCCGAATGAATATATAGTAGTATTGTTAAAAAATAGGCGCAAATCAAAAGACAGTATACTGAAAGATAGTATAAATAATAACAGTTAACTTATGAACAAGCAACATATGGATCTTTGAGTAATATAATTAGAAATGTTGGTTTATTTTATTTTGCTCACTCATTCATCTATTAATTAACTAAAAGAAAATATGTAACTTCAAAAAAAATATAATGGGAAGCATAACATAGTTAATAGTAGTAGATAATGAATTGTATATAACATCATATTAATATTGGTTTTTTTCAAAAAAACAGATCTACCAATTAAATAATGGGATTGGATTATTGTTCAGAGCATTAATTGGTGGTGGTAATAATAATATATCAATTACTATTATGGTTATTGTTACTTATTTATTATTATGGCTTATTGTTAACGTGATAAGTAATAATATATTATTAATAATATTTATTGTATAACATTGTATTAACAGGTTTATTATCATAGGCAGAAGTTTGTCTGATTGGCTAATTTTGCCGATCAATTTCAATTGAGTTCGCATATTATTTATATAGTTTAAAGTACTTTTTAGGATTTTTAAGAATACAACGTTTCACTAATAAAAAAATAAAAAATCATTGCAAAAGCCTTTAAAATAATACCAACGTTCACTGTGCAAAAGAATCAAAAAAAAATCATACTCCTGACATACTTTACTTAGAAGACAAAAATGCCATTTACTAGTAGTATTACAGGGCCATGTGCGATTACTATATGCAAGAGACAGTCAGTCATCCAACTGGAGAAAGGTAACTGAACACGTTATTTCCAAAGGTCAAACTAACAAAACTTTTCCAAATTATGTTCAACTAGGCGATACAATTTGTTTAAACTGTTATAATGGAATCATAACAAGGAGTGCAATCGAATTTCAGCAACATGCATTAGAACAGTCCCATCATAATGAGCCAGAAATTTATATAGAAACTTCTAGTAAAGATAATAATAATAATTTAACTTTTTCACAAGCAGTAGGGATAGTCACAGATATTCTCTATGAACGAGAACATCAAGGATTGCCACCAATTTGGATATTTGAAGAATTTCGTGCAGTTATGGAATTAGAAGATAAACGGCTGAAGTATTTTTTGATGAATTATATTTATCAATCAACCCGTTAAAAAAAGCAAATCTACAATGGAAAATGTATCAAAACAGTTGGTATTTTTATGTTATTTTATTTGTGGTATTAGAAATAAGTTTGTTAATAATGCAAAAAGAGATCCAGGGATGTATTTAGATTCTACTGGGACACCTGATTCAACGATAGACACCTTGGCAACATTAGGTATGACAATAACATCTCGTTCAATTGCTTACCACAAGGATGCTATATCTAAAAAACATTTGACAACTGTGGAATCAAATCTTGCAGATAGTACTAATAGTGCTCTAGTTTTAAATATTGACGATTATCACAGTATACACATTAAAAGAATGCCTGACACTAAAGACTAGTGCCGTAATCCAAAAAAGGAAAAAGTATGGTTGCAAAAGTGGTCGCAAAGGTAATTGTGACCACTTTTTATATGCCGTAAATACAATTACTACCATCACCATAATTTACGGCACTAGTCTTTACCTGACACTACCACAACATCAAGTGCAGAACATCTTGCTACTATTTTACTTAACTCAATTAAGAATCAACCAGCAATACCAAGAGAAGATATTCATAATCCTGCGTTAATTGAAGCTCAGCTAATCAAAATTGGAATTGAAAACAATTTTATGTCAACGTATTCACTTTCTCATAACCAACGTTGGGGGTTTCACCTTGTGAGTGATAAAACAAAGCTTGAAGAATTAACAGTCCATAGCTATGATGTTCGTTTAAAAGAAAAAAGGAACACAAGATCACTAAAAGATGCTGTACTTGTGGATCTCTTGGAGAGTAAACTTCAATCAATGGAAGCTTATATAAATGCTATTAATGTTGCAGCATCTGTTCCAACAATAAATAGATATATTGAAGATGGCAATGTCATCCCAGTTGTTGCTGATTGGCCTGGTCAAATATTCCTAAGAACTGCTATATCACAGTGTCTTATCTATGGTAACTCTTCTGGAATTACTAACAAAGTTTTATCATTTCTTCCAATGATGGGACCATTGCATATCTCTTTGAATAGCCGTGAGTTAATATTTCTTCAATATCAACCATTTTTCTCTGGAATGTACAGTTATATATTTGGTGCCAGGAAAAAACTTGCTCAAAAACCAAAACCATGGCGTATAAATTTACTGTTGGAACTCTCACGTAGTGCATGGCAAGAAATTTCAAAGATAATTGAAATTAAATTTGGATATGCATGTAAAGATGTAGAATACATAGCACTTAAAGACCTATTAGATAACATGATTCCATTGGTTCTTGATATTTATGCTTTGTTTTTTCGGGCTGGTGATTTTAACTCTTACATTGAATCTTGTTTTCGAGTTTGGGTTATTTTTCTTAGGTTCCATCGTAAAAATTATACTAAAGCACCTTTAATGTTTCTTTCCGACGTTTTTTATTGGCAATCCAAAAGTCATTCAATTCTAGAGATAATGAATGCTGAACTGCCAAAATTCTCTGATTCACCTGTAGAAATCTTTCATAGTCTTTTACGGCGCAGTACAGAGAAACATCTTACAGCAGACCAAATAATAAAAACAGCACAAAATATCAATTATTTACGATTTGATGATGATGACTTTAAGGAAAACTTTGTTCACACTTCATCTTGGGCAGCTTATCAGTATTCTTCTCGGAATATTGAAACTTTGACACGAAAAACTGCATGTTATCTTCTAGATTGTTTTACTGATATCTATACTCGTATTAATCATAAGAAAATTCAATTTTTAATTCCACCACAGGTTTCTATGAAACGCCCATTAAAAAGGAGTAAGAAGGAAGGAAGTGCTAATACAGGAAACAGTATTCCTATTCCAGCAATGAAGATGAAGGAGGCATGGCTTTGTCATCTACCTTTAGGATATAGCTCTTCACATAAGCCTAGTTTGTATGGTTGTGATTCTTCTAATTGTTTTATTACTAAAACTATAATCACTGAAGAAACAGGGCAGGTACTGCCATGTGGCCATGCATATCATAACACATGTTTTAGCCAAGATGGGTCCAAGTGCTTACATTGTTTAGATTTTATTAAGGATGGCGTTGATAAACATGTTCAATCACTTCTAGAAAGTTTGCATCAAATTAATTCAAATAGTAGTGCTGAAGGTGAAGATCCCGGTTCTATTCTTGAAGATGATAATGATGACATTAAGGAATCTGCAGATGACATTTTAGTCCCATTGGATGATACAATATGGCAATTTCTTCAGTTATAGTTTATTTTTGTTTTTTTTTTTGTTTGATTACTATTATAGGAGTTTTGGTTGATTGGGCTATAACATTTATTGTATTTTACGTGTAAAAAACAATCTAATAAATAAAGGAACTTGAATTATTATCATCATAATTTTTATTAGTCGATCTTATGCAGTAGCAAAATAATTCTTTATTCAAAACTTGATATTAATTTAAAATCAAAAAATCCTTTAATGAATTTGAAACAAGAATCAATTTTAAAGGTATAACATTAAAGTTATAAAATCCATACTGTTTTTTTTAAAATGTTAAAATATTACTTCTAAATATCTAATTATATGCAGAATGATAATATATTACTCATATTGTTTGTGTTCTTATAATTAATATAGCAATATCAGCATTAAAATATATTCTTATTTACCTTTAGTTATATATAATTGTGATGACCAAATCGTACAATGTTTTTTCCATGACGGGGTCAAGAACATCTGCATGTATCACGTTAAATGAGTCAACTCTCCTGTCTTTTTTTCCATGTAGGCAAAGCTGTGTGTGTATCGTTCTGCAGTTTTGAAATTCATCGTGTTTAATTAATCAATTTTAATGCTAATTAAAATGTAAATATTAAAGTTTTCTATAAAACCCCAAATGATCTAGTTATTTGTCTGCTCATCCTGTTTTGTGTTGTTTATAATTAAATAGCTATATTGTTGAATAATAGAGAAATACTCATTCCATGTTAGAAAATATATAATAAATTTCAGCATTAAAATATTAAAATAGATTCTTATTTACCTTTAGTTATAAATCGTACAACGTTTTTTCCATGACGGGGTCAAGAACATCTGCATGTATCAGGTTAAATGAGTCAACTCTCCTGTCTTTTTTTCCGTGTAGGCAGAGCCGCGTGTGTATCGTTCCGCAGTTTTGAAATTCATCATGTTTATTTAATCAATTTTAATGCTAATTAAAATGTAAATATTAAAGTTTCCCACAAAACCCCAAATGATCTAATTATTTGTCTGCTCATCCTGTTTTGTGTTGTTTATAATTAAATAGCTATATCACTGAATAATAGAGAAATACTCATTCCATGTTAGAAAATATATATAATAAATTTCAGCATTAAATAAAATAAATTATTAATTAATATTAAATAATAAAACTCCCCAATTGTTAATGATTTCATTCATAAAATAGTAAATAGAAACAAATTTTTGAGTTGAACATAATTTGGAAAAGTTTTGTTAGTTTGACCTTTGGAAATAACGTGTTCAGTTACCTTTCTCCAGTTGGATGACTGACTGTCTCTTGCATATAGTAATCGCACATGGCCCTGTAATACTACTAGTAAATGGCATTTTTGTCTTCTAAGTAAAGTATGTCAGGAGTATGATTTTTTTTTGATTCTTTTGCACAGTGAACGTTGGTATTATTTTAAAGGCTTTTGCAATGATTTTTTATTTTTTTATTAGTGAAACGTTGTATTCTTAAAAACCTTAAAAAGTACTTTAAACTATATAAATAATATGCGAACTCAATTGAAATTGATCGGCAAAATTAGCCAATCAGACAAACTTCTGCCTATGATATTCATGGTATTCACGGATACCGTGGTATATCTTTACTTAAAAAGGCAATGATCGCTTCAAAAAATTTCGTTATGATATTGTTACTGGGAAACAAAACAAGGCTATTTATTTTCATTATTTTGTTTAGTAGATACAACCAGATTGGTAAGATGGTGTTTTGGTATGTGACCTAGCCTTTTTTGTTTATTAATATTTTTATTTTATTTTTTACTTCATCCATCTCTCACCATATAATTTTAATTTTTCATTTATATTTATATTTGGTAAATAATCAATTAAATGAACTTTATTAAACATATGGCTATATAACACCACTACCAAACACTCTAGAACTATATCAATACTAAAATCAATTTTTAAGTTCATACAAATAAAATTAAAATGAAAATATATGAATTTTATGAATGAAAACAGTAAATTATGCAAAAATCACACAATACCTTGAACATATGAATTTGTATTCTCACACTATTAAAAACTATGAATTTCGTTTGATTCAAATGATTTTTAATGAACATGATTATACTTGTCGTCGGAATTCCATAATTACGGCAAATTCGGCATTATGGTATAAGCCGTAAATGATTTTTGGCATGAGACCTCAAAGTCATAAAAGTCGTAAACCGTAAAACCGTAAAACCGTAAAACCGTAAAACTGTAAAACCGTAATGCCGTAAAACCGTAAAACCATAATGCTGTAATGCCGTAATGCCGTAAATGCCGTAAATGCCATAAATCCTAATACCATAATAGTAGTACTGTAACACCTAATACCAACATAGAAAATTTTTCCCATAAATATTAAATGTCTTTATTAATTCAATTAAACATAACATAAACATAATAATGTAGGTTTTAAACAACAGTGAACAATAATAAATATTTATAGAAATGGTTATATTATATGAAGTAATAAGTTTTTTCTTAACAAAACATTTTTCAATTATTAAAAGGAAAAAATGAGTTCTGTGAGTTCTGTCAGGTCGGGCATGTCAAGTAATCATCAAAGCAATAGTCAAACAAATAAAAGAGGTCATAAAGAATCAATTGTTTGGGAGCATTTTTTTTAAGAAACAATAGGAGATGGCCACTTCTCTGCCAAATGTCATTATTGCGCAGAAGCTTGGTCTAGAGGGAAACCTGAATTTTTGAAAGGGCATCTAGCTTTACATTGTTCTGCAGTGCCAACTAATATAAAACTTGAATACATGCAAATACTTATAGAACAACCTTTGAGTTCTAATAAAACACAGAAGATAAATTCATCTAATCCATCCATTACCAATTATTTTGATTCTTCTGCAGAAGTTGATGCAAGTAAGAGAGAGAGAATAAATCAAGCATTAGGTAAAAACAGTTACATTATACAATTATATAATATATGTTTGTCAATTAACATACTTGTCTATTAAATTGTTTTTTTAGTTCGATTTTTTATATGTTGCGGTATTTCTTTTTCAACTGTAAACCATCCTTTCTTTGTGGATTTTACAAAAAGTTTGTGCTTTGGGTATAATCCTCCAAAAAAAACCACACTCTCAACTACCATTTTGAATAAAGAAATTTCATCAGTCTTAAATAAAATTAACGAGGAGCTTAAAAATGAGGATAATTTAACATTAGGTATCAAATCTGATAAATTATTAAATATTGTATTAATTTAATTCATCTTTATGTCTTTATTTAATTTATATTTACTACTATAGCCATTGACAGATGGTGTGATCCTTTAGGAAAATCAATTTATGCATTTGTTATAATTACTCCAAATAGAAAGCAATATATTCATTCTTTGGTAGATGAATCAGGTGAATTTCATACTGGGAATTACAATGCTGATGAAATTGAAAAGGTTTTAACTTCAATTGGTCCAGAAAAATTTGTGGCAGTAGTTTCAGATGGTGAAGCAGCTATGCAAATGGCAAGAAGATTAATCTCTCAACAATATCCTAATATTTTATCAATACGCTGTTTAGCCCACCATATAAATTTAATTACAACTGATTTAGTAAAGTTAAAGTTTTCCAACACTATTTTGTCAAAGTGTAAAAAAATTATAAATTTTTTCAAAAAATCTTATCGTGCAGGTGCTGCACTTCATGAAGATATTATTAATTCTCTTGTAAAAGGAGGAGGATTAAAAACACCAGTGAAGACCCGATGGACCACAATGTGGGATTGCTGTGATTCCATCATAAGACTAGAAATTTGTCTAAAAAATGTAAGTTGATGTTTGATATAGCTTATAAAAACCTATATACAAATATGTGTCATGTTCTATTCATTGCCATGGAAACAGATTTCATCTAAATATTTATTTTTTATTATTCAGGTTCTTGAAACACAACCTGAAATTTTTCGTGATTCATCTGTTGTAAAAGCAATCATCCGAGATCATCAATTTTGGCAAGAAGTAGAAAAATTTCGAGATGTACTTGCACCTGCTAAAAGAGCAGTTAAAAATATTGAGGCCAAATCAAGTAACATGGCTTCATGTTTTTTGGAATTAGTGAAGATGGCAATTGCCATTAAAAACCTGCCATCTTCTTTGGATACAAATTTTAAAAGGCAATGTATTAGAATATTTAATAAACGTTGGGAAAAATTAGATGTAATGACATATCTTCTCACCTTTTTCTTCCACCCTAAATATCGAGGTAAGTTAATATCTAAATTTTATTTTATCTGTATTGGAAATATCCTTTCCATTGTTCTCACTTTTAAAAATTATTAGCCAAAGGCTTTCAAAACACTATCTTTCGTGAAATGAGTTTGTTTGCTATGAAAATCTGGACAGATTTTGGTGGTGGCACAAATAGTTGTAAGATTTAAGGGTAGAGTGTAGGTAACACGAATTTCGACTATGATATGTGGATAAATTTTTTTGGTTGCCGATCACTAAACAATTAAAAAATAAAATAAAAAATATATGACATATTTTTATTGACCAAAAAAAATAATACTTTTTAAATATATATTACTTTCTGTAATATTTCTTAATATCTTTATCTTTGACTACTTGGAAGCTATATCACATATAAATTAAAAAATAATTACAAATTTAGCAGAATGTTTATTAAGAATTATTACGTTTTCAATAAATATTTCCATTCTCTTGATTGAGCATCAACAATAGCACCATCTTTAAGTCCACAAATGATCAAATTACAAACTAAATTTGAGAAATTGGGATTTGGTTTTTGTAAAATAATATCACATACAACCAAGCCTTCTATTATTAACCAATCTAGTAGATGTAAAGCATCATCCTGTTTTTTTATTTTTCTGGGCCAGTTATCCTTATATATTTGTAATTCTGATAGATTTTTTTCATTTACAACCTTGTTTTTTGCTTGGCAAAAAATATACATAATATCCTGGCGAGAAGCTTCTTTTTGTTGATTATTCAAAAAATTAG